AATTCATGTACATTAGGTTTCATCCCAATAGTTACAATCCTCTTAATGCAAAATAACTTATCCCACTTCCTCTCCACCCTTCCTGCTTTCCATTTTCCCTCTTTCCCAACCTTTCTGAACTTTGCCTTTGGGTAAATACTGCCCCTTTGATCTCAAATGATGGACCAATACAAGGTGTGCATAGCTTTCCCAAGTTACCATTGCCCCATAAACCTGTCCCTTGTTTGTCTGAAAACTGAGCCATAGGGATGAGTTCAGTTCCAGCGCTGAAGGTTAACTAAGAGTCATTGTCTCCTATTTCCACCCGTCTCTGTCCCACCAGTAAGCCTGTTATCTTTTTATGATTTTGAGTTTTGTTCCACGTTATTCTCCCATTCTATCCAGGACCTGCTAATGTGATCCCTTTCAGAGAAGTTGATATTGGTAGCTGGGCACTATCTAGTTCTTCTGGTCTTCGGGTGATGGAGAATGAAGTTCCCATGGTCCTTTAGGCCTTGGGACTTATTATTTCCACGTGTCTTCCGTTTTCATCATTATACTTTCCTTCAGACAATAGTTGCACCTTAGATGGCTGCTCAGGAGCTTTTAAGATCCCAGTCATTACGCACTAAAGTAGGAAGTGTAGCATTGTCTTTGTGGGTTATGTGATGCCAATTGATCTTGGTATCCCCTGCTACTGGGGTTCTGAGTCCCCAGGTTCAACAGAAAAGTCTTTTTTGATGGAGACAGAATCCAATAGGATGTTGTTTATAAAATCGTACATAAGCTCAGCATGGTCTACTTCTGCCAAATGTATCTGTATATGTCATGGAAAACTACTTACGTATTAATAAAAATAATCATATAAGCCAATATTAAAAGCATTCTCCCTAATGAATTTAAATCCTAGTATGTACAACTAGGCTCATCAGCCTATGAAAAGATCTTTTAAGGTAACATTCACCAAATTATCATCAAACAAAATTAGACTCAAAACATCCTTTCTTTTCATTGTTTGCTTGCTTGGACTAGATAACAAAGAAAGTGATTATAATGTCATATTTAATCAAAGGAATACAATCATAGCGTGCAGGTGTGTTAATTTTTATTATTATAAATAGAGAAAAAAATTTGCAAAGGTAAGTCAAAAAGTATTGCTATAAAATCATAGACACTTTTATTAAACAAAAATATCAAAATATGAAGCTATTGTTTCTTAACATATCCTCCATCTAGATCTATATACTTATGGGGGTGCTGCTTCCATCTCTCTACCCCTTCCCCAAAGCATACTGCACTCTATGCTTACACCATATCAAAACAACAATCTTGGAATCCTTAAAGGACTCAGATCGCCTTCCCTTTCAAATGTTCTTTGAGGTTGAGGAAGAAAAAGAAGACTGAAGGGGCAAAGCTTAGAGCTGGAAGGTGGCTGGGGAACGTATTCTCAGTGAAATTTTTGAAAGGCAATCCTTCCTACCTTTGAAGCATAAGCAGGTGCATTGCTGTGATAGAAAAATGCTCCTAGAGCAACTTTCCTGACCTTTTCTCAACACTTTTCAAATTTATTATCACTTTTTCATATTAAGCCCTCATGATTGTCTTGTATCCTTTGAGAAAATCCATCAAGGATACTCCTTTGGAATCCCCCCTGAAAATGTTGCCATAACCTTCTGAACTGACCTCTCTGCCTTGAATTTAACTGTCCCAGCAGATCCTCATGGAATCCACGGTTTGATTGGATCTTGTTTTAAAGTCACCCTAATGAAACTAACGGAGTCCTGGTGTGGCATTGTGGATTAATGCAAAGAGCTACAATGTCAGTGGTTCAAGTTCACCACCCTCTCCTGGGAAACGCTTTACAGGATCACTATGGGTGGGAACTGACTAGACAGCACTTAACTACAACAGCAACAATGAAACTAGGACCAGTGTGTTGCTGAACTTGCTGCTTCCATCCGTTGATTGCAGAGATTTGCCTAAACATGTATCGGTGGGAATAAACCCATGCTTGTATGAACTGGAATCCTAGTAGCAATACTTTTTGACTTACCTTTGCATAAACAATGCAGCATATGGAATAATATACTATAAATGACATCTGCCAACAGTTCAAAGATAGTATTAGCATTTGAAAAACTATGTACATATTAAGCCCCTGGCAAAGAAAGGCCAAAATATGTCAATTTAAGAATATTTATGAAACATTGTGGTCAGTTCACAACCCCAAATACTATGTTTTTAGTCTCTATATTATGCAAAAAAGGGGTCCTGGTGGTATGGTGTGTTGGGTTACTAACTGAAAGGCTGGTGGTTCAAACCTACCAGCTGCTCCAAAGGAAAAGTGTGTGGGAGTCTGCTTCTGTAAAAATGTGCAGCATTGGAAGCCCTGTGGGGCGCTTCTACTTTGCCTTAAAGACTTGTTATCAGTCAAAACCAACACAGTGGCAGTAGATTTTGATTTTACACTGAATTCAAGTGAGATGTGTTTTCTTAGCAAAGATATTTATTCCCAACAACTTGGCTTATTTCCCAGATCACTCACAATGAAACTTGAATATTTGTGATATCAAATTTTCACATCGATTCATAGGACAGTTCTATGCCATGAACACAGGACAGTAGCGCACTCTCCACAATTCCCAGATGTATGCACAGATCTGTGTACGTGTGGTTACCTGGGAGAATCATAGAAGTGAGTGAGCCTGGGTAGAAACACAATGAAGCTAGGAATGGGTGAGGCAGGTGGTAGTAGAAATGCTAAGAACAGGGGTCAAGACAATCAACCATGCATCTCAAAGGGGTCAAGTCAACAACATTATCTGGCGAGCAGTGCTAGCAGGAAACAAGCTAAGAGGAAATACCACCTACTTCCAACTAAAATCTATCCACTTGTGGTGGTCCCTGTATGTTGCACATAGATACCGATTTGAATTTCAAGGGCAAGAAACTTTGCCACTAAACAGGATCATGTTTTTCTTCCTAATGAAAAACAAGAATGGGTGGTCTGCTCTGAACAACGTCGACTCAGGGAGTTGCTTCTCCATAATGTTTGTTCCCGTGGCCGCAGCCGCCTCCGTGCCCTCCTCTGTAACCTCGATGTATGACTTGTGCATCAGCTTCGACAAATACAGGCGACCGCCCGCAGCTATGCCAGAGAGATCTGCCTTGGATTCATCAAAGATATCTCTCAGCCCTAGAGCTTTCAAATAGTTCTTGATTTCATAGTTTTTCTCTATCTTGAACTGCGGAAGAAACACTTCAACATAGTGAGAACGCATTTTTCTTGGATTGGTCCATTCCATGAGATTCTGAAAGGTCAGTTTATTTTCAATCTGTTGGAATAAGCGAAAGGCAATTTAGAAATATAAAGTTAAGGAGTAGACAAAATAACAATGACCAAGACATATGGTATGAGCTCTGGTAGCATAGTGGTTACGAATCGGGCTGCGAACCACAAGGTCAGCAGTTCGAAACTACCAGCTGTTCTTCGGAAGACAGATGAGGTGTTCTGCTCCTGTAAAGATTTACAAGCCTCGGAAACCCTGTACACGGTCGCTATGAGTCGGAACCGACTCCACGGCACAGAACAACAACAACCTTAACTAAGCCATGTGGTAAATTGGATATTTGTGTTTAAGTATGTATACTATACATATTATACAGGGTTGCTATGAATCAGAACAGACTCCATGGCACTTAACCACCACCATATATATAAGTCCTGGTATGGTGCTGTAGATTAATGTGCTGGACTGCAATGTCAGTTTGACCTGAAAGGTTGGCGGTTCAAGCTCACCAGCCACTTCTCAAAAACCCTATACAGGATCGCTATGAGTCAGAAC